AAAGCCCTACCGAGTCTCCACATCCCGCTCTGTTATTGTCCCTATCAATCTTGTCTAATTATTTTTAATTTTGTTTCTCTCTATATCTCTGAATTATTTGTTTCTCTCTTTGTCGCTCCTCCGTCTCTTTAATTTTCTCTTTTTCTGTCCTCTCCTATTCTCAGCTTTAAGGAAGCATAGCACGCGCTCCTGGCTGACGTGTTTGTTAGGTGTCTCAAACATACGAGAATTCATCGCGTTCAATGTTTTCGCCCTTGTCGTAATAGGGAGGAGTCTGGTCCAGCACGACCTCTCCCAGTTTACCTCTGCTGGTCCATCATGACCTCAGCTCGTCTAACGTGACCTCACCGGGTCCAGCAGGACCTCATCTGATCTGGCCCGACCTCCCCTGATGCAGCACGACCTCTCCTGATCCAGCACGACCTCTCCTGATGCAGCACGACCTCCCCTGATGCAGCACGACCTCCCCTGATGCAGCACGACCTCCCCTGATCCAGCACGACCTCACCTTGGGAGGTGCTCTGGTTAAACCACGTGGAAAGAATTTGTTACGTTATTAAGCACGACTTACCTTTACATGGGTGGTGATCCAGTCCACGCCGCCCTTGGCCTGTCGGATGATGGTGGCCACGTTGGAGTTGTCCTGGGTAATGGTAGCCACTACGACAGGCTTGGCCATGGCCCTGTGGATGCTGACCCGCTTGGAATTGTTGACTTCATGCTCGTGCGCGTGCTTCTTGAGGAGTCCTGCCGCTTGCATGGTGGAGGTGAGAGCCCCAGCCCCTGGCTCTCAGGGTCGTGTACTAGGTCCTTAATGTGACGGCTGGGTCTAGGCAGTGGCCCTGTCCGGGTCCCGGCCCAGACCGTATGGTGGGCATGGTGTGGGCTAGCTCATGCCCCGCACCTCTACCCATCTAGACGGTATCACGAGTCCAGGGGCCGAGGAAAGCGTTGGTCAGGGGTCCCTCATGGTGCCGCGTCAGGACCATTGTTGTCAGTGCGGCGCCCCGAGGCCATAACACGGAGAGGAACACTTCGGGGGCTCTGTGTCGCACTATTAACATGTGGGTCCAGAAGACTCGCTCTTTATCTTTCACAGTACAAAGTTTGAGCAGGTCAGTGTTAATGGCTAAAGTGAAACTTTCTTAAGAGTTCTTCGCTGCGTTATCTTTCTCGCGCTTTCTTAAAATAATAATTTATGCTAAAAAGATGCTTAGAATTACAATGTTTTTCTAACGGAATTACAATCATAAAATCAATACGTGTGGTGACAAGACAGACCCAACCTTACTGGAGAGCTGGTGACGCTCAAGACGGCCCTGAGTGTCATCTTACCAGAAACAAAAGTGTAAAAGAAACGAGTGTAAACTAAAACATTTCTTGGAAATTTGTAAGTGTTTACGAGGTGTTGACTTCAAGATTAACTTGAGACTAGGAGAATGCTGCCAACTTCAATGTGTGCAGCAGGAGGTAGGAAGGAGAGGGAAAGAGGATTAGAAGGGTAGATAATTACGGGACGGAGGAAGAAGCACACAAGAAGGGCAGGAACTTCGGTAAATATGAGGCACACATTACATATATCAATGTGTGAGAACATTCCATATAGTATTAACCAATAGTGTATACCGCTAAGATCATTAATGATCTCATGATATGTGTGAAATCATTCCATATAGTACTAACATAGTGTATACCGCTAAGAACTTAAGCAAAATGGGTAAAACAAAATTTTCACTTACCCAAATAAAGTCGGTAAGGAATTAGTAAGCGGCAGTCAAAAAATAGATAAAGCTGAGGGCGCCGGAGTCTGAGGGATATCTTGCAATGACTGTAATAAAGTTTACTATGGCCGAACAGACGGGGATCTAAAGACCCGTATTATTCAACACAAGACGTCTGTTACATATAGCCAAGAAAGCTCAGCATTATAAACATGAGACCGAACACAATTATATGGGATAACTCGTGTATAATTTATCCCCAACACACTGGCGTCAAAAGAAAAATAATAGAATTTACTTTTATAAACAATAATCCAAATTTTAATATCTCCTCAGGACAATGGTTACTAGATTTGGTTAGCAATTATCAAACGGTTATTATCTAATGCTTACACCTCAGGACACTTCATTTAACGCCATTCTCGCTCACTGCTGAAGAGGGTCCCGGGTTGGGACCGAAATATAGTCTTGCGTTTATTTGTGTTTTCAAAATAGTGGGTAATTATTTTTGTCAATGTATGTTGGCGGCCGTAAGTATATGAAGGGTCGCGGAGCCAAATGCTGGCTGTGTGATGCTGTGATCTCCACCTTGTGATCCCGGGCCAGGAACTGCGACCCACCATAAGCAAACTTTGAACACTTTTAGGATACCTTAAAACATATGAGAATACGTGAAGGTATTGCAAAGTACCTGGTATCTCGTACAAACAGGTCTAAAATGTCTTATGACTAGGCATTAACTCGTATAATGCTGGAGAGCATGACTGGTCCTGCTCATAGAGTTTACACGCCAGAGTTCACGGGATGGGGTGCAGCCACCAACCACTTGTTGCGGTATATCAACCTGACTCGGCAGTTACTACTTCTCACAGGTGTATGTACAGCGTTACTCAGGCCTGGTGAGTGTATCATTTCTTGTTCATCAGACTTAATTGTTTGGGTCAGTATGATTTACGTATCAGATGGAGGTGGAAATCTAGGTAAGGAACCAATCAGGAATCGAAAGGGTAAAGGAGAGGGTGTGAGGAACGAATGAAAAGGAAGCAAGGAGGAAGGGTGATAGGGATAAAAAGAGTGATGAGAGCTTTGGATTCAGGGGGGGGGGAGTAGGTTATAGGGAATTAGAAAGGAAACTTTGATGGAAGTAGTGAAGGAGACTGGAAAAGATGGGGTGAGGAAGAGACGAATCACGTGAATCAAACTATAAATAATTGTGCTCAGAACTGACTAGGCGAGAGCGGTCGTAGGACGGCCGGAGGCATCAATAATATACCAAACACGAAAATACCACCGCCATCCACACGCGCGCACAATCACACATACAATCAATCGTAGACGCATGGCAATATAGTCTGGGAAAATAAATACGTGGAGAGTAACACCAATAGAACGAGAAACGGTAAATTTTGTAAGCCAGTATGTGAGGGACGCCACAAAAATGAGGGTAGTCAACAGAGTAATCACACTAACGTGACTGTATCAATGAGAAAATCCGTAGGAGCCTTGATGAGTGTTCGAACCTATGCAGTGGGTGTTCACACGCGCTAGCGGTAAGACCACGACATGGTAAAAGGATTGCAACCTGGAGTTCTACTGAACACACAAGGATTTCTTGGGACTTCTACTGATTGTGTGATTTTCACACAATCTCCCCATGCACTCTGACTCTGTTATCTAGGCATGTTCCATCTCTGACGCTCCTCTTTCATTGCACAAGAGAGTAATCACACTAACGTGATTGCATCAGTGAGAGAATCCTTTGATTTTTGATGATATAAATGATGAGAAAAACACCGCATAGGTTCGAACCCTCATCACGGCTCTACGGATTTTCCAGCCCGTCCTCGCATACAAAGATCCAAGCTCGTTAATCCAGCCATCAAACCCCCTGTTACTGAATGAAAAGCAGTTTACACACGACTCACAACTGATGACGTCTGAACACTTCCGGAACAAGTGCTTCGCTCATGTCCTCTGTTCGAACCACAATTCTATAAATACTCAGCCCGTCCTCCAAACAAAGATCCAAAAGTGATTCCATGCACCCGCCAAACCCCCTGTTTATGAATGAAAAGCGGTTTACACACGACTCACAACTGCTGACATTCGAACATATCCGGAACAAGTGCTTCTCTGACGAATTTTGTTCGAATCACAACGCTATAAATGCTTCACCCACGTACTACAAATACAAATAATCGCCAACAGAACCTAAACACCTAACCTAACCTATCCTATGCCTATATATACACAATATGCTAATATATTATAATATTAATTTATACTTGAGAAAATTCCCGTTTTGAATGAACGGTATGTTAAAATTTATGAATGCGTCTGTGGGGTTGACCGCTGAATGTAATGGACTTGAGTCGAGGACGGGTTGAAATACTTCACCCACGTGCTTCAAATATAAATAATCGCCAACAGAACCTAAACACCTGACTTATGCCTAACTATGCATAAATTTGTATGTATAATAATATTAATTTATATATGACAAGAAATAAGTTTTTAATACACAGTATGTTAACATTGATGAATGTGTCTGGGGAGGTCGGCCGCTGCTATAAACGCCAAATGTGAGGACGCAACCCGTCCTCGACTAAAGTTCATTACATCCAACGGTCGGCCCCACAGACGTATTCATAGATTTTAACATGCTGTGTATTAAAATTGGTTCTGTTGGCGATTATTTGTATTTGTAGTACGTGGGTGAAGCATTTATAGCGTTGTGATTCGAACAGAATTCGTCAGTGAAGCACTTGTTCCGGAAGTATTCCAACGAAATCAGTTGAGTCGTGTGTAAACCGTTTTTTATTCATAAACAGGGGGTTTGGCGGGTGCATGGGATCACTTTTGGATCTGTTTGGAGGACGGGCTGGGATTTTTCAATGAGGGTAATGAACCAGAGACATCACCTGGGATTCACTCTGAACGAGTTAGACTTCATGGAAGTCAGTAGGAATGAACCCTGAGCAATAAACGATTTCTGTGTACTGACATTTGAGGATCTGCTGGATGTAGGAACGAATGACTTGAAAGAACTGAAAATCTCTTAAGAGAAGGTAACACAATATAAGCATAACATTTGTCTATGACAGTAGGAAAACGTCTGTGTACACCAGAAGGTAAGTTTAACTCACATAAGAGGTAAACTTCCGACAAATTATACAGTAACAATAGTAAGCGGAGGGGAGACAGTTGACACGCACGAGACAACGTAACAATAATTCCTCCAAAACTTCCACCGAACAAGCGTCTCGCCTCATTTTACATTCATGAAACTTCTAATTTAGCAGCCAGAGTTCGACCGAGCAGGGCGCCGTGCAGCCCTCGACCCCTGAGTGGGGCAGGGCGCCGTGCAGCCCTCGACCCCTGAGTGGGGCAGGGCGCCGTGCAGCCCTCGACCCCTGAGTGGGGCAGGGCGCCGTGCAGCCCTCGACCCCTGAGTGGGGCAGGGCGCCGTGCAGCCCTCGACCCCTGAGTGGGGCAGGGCGCCGTGCAGCCCTCGACCCCTGAGTGGGGCAGGGCGCCGTGCAGCCCTCGACCCCTGAGTGGGGCAGGGCGCCGTGCAGCCCTCGACCCCTGAGTGGGGCAGGGCGCCGTGCAGCCCTCGACCCCTGAGTGGGGCAGGGCGCCGTGCAGCCCTCGACCCCTGAGTGGGGCAGGGCGCCGTGCAGCCCTCGACCCCTGAGTGGGGCAGGGCGCCGTGCAGCCCTCGACCCCTGAGTGGGGCAGGGCGCCGTGCAGCCCTCGACCCCTGAGTGGGGCAGGGCGCCGTGCAGCCCTCGACCCCTGAGTGGGGCAGGGCGCCGTGCTGCCCTCGACCCCTGAGTGGGGCAGGGCGCCGTGCTCACCCTCCCTGCACGGTAAGATGATTCACACACTATAGAGACGATTAACATTCAAAAGTAGGTTGACATGTTGTACAGAGCATTGTTACGCTGTAAAAAACCATGCTGTAAAAAGGTTTAGCATGCTGAAAAGCAGATTGATACGCCCGAAAAAGAACTGATATATTGAAAAAAAGGATTGGCACGCTGTACAGAGGATTGACTCGCTGTAAAGAGGATTGACTCGCTGTAAAGGGGATTGACACGTTGGTTGTTAGTTCTAATTAGGTTTTATGCTCCCAAGTTCTCAATTAGCTTCTCATCCTGTGAGATCACCTATAATTGGTTAAGTTGGATGAATCGTCTTGTTCCCCATCTGTCGTCTTCCACGTGTTCTGTTAGCAAGCAAAAGTCCTTTCTATTATTTCAACGAATTTTGTTTTGATCGTTGTTATACCACGGTGCAGGTAGCTATACTTCCACTCAATTTCGCCATAGTTTACATGCCCGTGATCGCTAATTGTGCTCTAATTCAGCTTGTTGTTAGTGCAGTGTTTGTGTGGCTGCTTGTGTTCTTGTACTGATGTGTGTGTGTTCTGTTGTGGAGGGAGGGGGGGGGGCGCATGTCAACACCACCGTGTTCTACACATACTCTACTAGTGATCCACTACTAGTCCAAGCTTCCTCTTATAGTCTTCAAATTAATTAAAAGTTAAATTCCTCTTGATAAGGAGTGTTAACTCTCTACCATTATTTCCATTCTTGCCACACCAGGGGACAACACCCCGGGGGGAGAACACACCAGGGGTACAACAGGCCTGGGGTACAACAGGTGGGGTACAACACCTGGGGTACAACAGGTGGGGTACAACACCTAGGGTACAAGGGAGCTGGTGTGAAACACACCAGTAACACACAGTCACGGTAACACTGCGTCACAGTTAACGAACATTGTCACCCACATGTGTCCACCTCCATAATTGGTGTTATTGTACACTAAAGAGTGGGGCCACACCCAGTTCCTCGGATGCAACAGCTGCAACACTCACTAACTCAAATGCGGCACTCGTCAATACAACCAACACCCGCCAACGTGGCTGTTAAACTCAACACAGTTGCAACACTCAACACAGGAGCACAGATCGTCAACACTTCAGGCATGGGGGGTCAACACTGGCGGAGGAGGAAGTTGTTGATGATTGTAAGACAGGAGCCAGCCTGAGGGCGAGGGCGGCAGCGTCCACACGGGTACTAGTGAGCAGACCACGAGGTACAGTATTGGACTAGTGAGTGTCAGGCCGCAGGTAGTGGTGGCTCTCTCTCTCCCTCCCTCCTATCCACATGCCATCCCCGCCACCACCTCCCACCCCAACCTAACATGCAGCCCTTCCCCCCCATCCACTATCACTACACCCACCCCACATGCCGCCCCCTCCACCAACACTTTTTTTCCAACACCACTCGCACCAACCAACAGGCGGCCCCCTCCACCACCACACCTACCACCACATATACCCCACCCCCCACCCCACATCCCACCTTCAAGTGCGGTGAGAAAGTACCACCTTCACAACCAGGCCTATACCACCACTAGTACCACCTTCAGAACTAGGCCTACTTCCACTAGTACCACCTTCACAACTAGGCCTACTTCCACTAGTACCACCTTCACAACTAGGCCTACCACCACTAGTATCACCTTCACAACTAAGCCTACCACCACTAGTATCACCTTCACAACTAGGCCTACCACCACTAGTACCTGGAGCCGGCCTAGCAACCAGGCGGTAGGCTGTTACCATGCAGTTGGTCACTTCAGGAACGTTACTCCAACTGTGGCCAATGGTCCGCGGCGCACTGCTCGCCTTATCACTATAGACAACAACAACAACAGAATTTATATGGAATTTTACGCCAGTGCCAGAAATTTGTATGTTATATTGTAAAGTTCTTTATGTCGACTAAACGTGAGATAATGAGAATAAGACATACTCAATAACCATTTCGTTATCAGTCCTGCTATCTACGTTATAGCTGGCTATGAGCTCTCCCTTGAGCTGATCACTTTAGTCTAAGCCTACATATTTCCCAAGGTGCGGGGGGGAAAAAAAAATTATATATATATATATATATATATATATATATATATATATATATATATATATATATATATATATATATATATATATATATATATATATGTCGTACCTAGTAGCCAGAACTCACTTTTTGGCCTACTATGCATGGCTCGATTTGCCTAATAAGCCAAATTTTCCTGAATTAATATATTTTTTCTAATTTTTTTCTTATGAAATGATAAAGCTACCCATTTCATTATGTATGAGGTCAATTTTTTTTTATTGTAGTTAAAATTAACGTAGATATATGACCGAACCTAACCAACCCTACCTAACCTAACCTATCTTTATAGGTTAGGTTTGGTTAGGTAGCCGAAAAAGTTAGGGTAGGTTAGGTTAGGTAGGTTAGGTAGTCGAAAAACAATTAATTCATGAAAACTTGGCTTATTAGGCAAATCGGGCCTTGCATAGTAGGCTGAGAAGTGCGTTCTGGCTACTAGGTACGACATATATATATATATCTGAAACGCAAAGACATAGTGAAAGATACGACAATAATTCAGCCCGTCCTCTAAACAAAGGCTCAAAGTCTATTCCATACACCCGCCAAACCCCTTGTTTATGAATGAAAAACTGTTTACACACGACTCAAAACTGATGAAGTCCGAACACTTCCGGAACAAGTGCTTCACTGACAACTTTGATTCGAACCACAACGCTGTAAATGCTTCATCCACGTACTATACAAATACCAGCCCGTCCTCCAAACAAAGATCCAAAAGTGATTCCATGCATCCGCCAAACCCCCTGTTTATGAATTAAGAGCGGTTTACACACGACTCACAACTGCTAACGTTCGAACATATCCGGAACAAGTGCTTCACTGACAAATTTTGTTCGAATCACAACGCTGTAAATGCTTCACCCACGTACTACAAATACAAATAATCGCCAACAGAACCTAAACACCTAACCTAACCTATCCTATCCTATGCCTATATATACACAATATGCTAATATATTATAATATTAATTTATACTTGCGAAAATTCCCATTTTGAATGAACAGCATGTTAAAATTGATGAATGCGTCTGTGGGGTTGATCGCTGATTGTAATGGACTTGAGTCGAGGACGGGTTGACAAATACAAATAATCGCCAATAGACCCTAAATACCTAACCTAACCAGTGCCTAAATATGTACAATACGCTAATATATAATAATATTAATTTATATATGAGAAAAATGTTGTATTGAATGAACAAAATGTTAAATTGGTGAATGTGTCTTTGGGGTCGACCGTTGGATAGAATGGACTTGGTCTGAGGACGGGGTGGCTGTTGACACGTCAACATGGCAACAGGTCGGCAGCCATAACTACCTCAGTAGACACGACTTGCTGCAGTGTCAATGGTTGGGGGGGGGGAGGGAGGTAGTGACAAGCTGCTCCCCCCCACCACCACCGTCAACCACTGATGGCTCCATCCCAACTTTTAGGGACGATTCGATAAATAATTTGAAAGAGTTAAGTTGAAACGCAGCAAGTAGATGACTAGTAGGCGGGGCAGGTAGAGGGCTAGTAGGCGGGGCATAAAGGGATAGACCTCGCTCCCCCATAGACACTGACTGGTAAGTACTGATAGGTAAGTAGCTGCGTCAACCCACTAATGCCTCCCTCCTCCAGCAGCGTCCTGCAGTTATACCTGGACAATACTGAGGGCACTGAGGTGCTCCTGGGTAGTAACGAGGGCACTGAGGTGCTCCTGGGTAGTAACGAGGGCACTGAGGTGCTCCTGGGTAGTAACGAGGGCACTGAGGTGCTCCTGGGTAGTAACGAGGGCACTGAGGTGCTCCTGGGTAGTAACGAGGGCACTGAGGTGCTCCTGGATAGTAACGAGGGCACTGAGGTGCTCCTGGATAGTAACGAGGGCACTGAGGTGCTCCTGGATAGTAACGAGGGCACTGAGGTGCTCCTGGATAGTAACGAGGGCACTGAGGTGCTCCTGGATAGTAACGAGGGCACTGAGGTGCTCCTGGATAGTAACGAGGGCACTGAGGTGCTCCTGGGTAGTAACGAGGGCACTGAGGTGCTCCTGGGTAGTAACGAGGGCACTGAGGTGCTCCTGGGTAGTAACGAGGGCACTGAGGTGCTCCTGGGTAGTAACGAGGGCACTGAGGTGCTCCTGGGTAGTAACGAGGGCACTGAGGTGCTCCTGGGTAGTAACGAGGGCACTGAGGTGCTCCTGGGTAGTAACGAGGGCACTGAGGTGCTCCTGGGTAGTAACGAGGGCACTGAGGTGCTCCTGGATAGTAACGAGGGCACTGAGGTGCTCCTGGGTAGTAACGAGGGCACCGAGGTGCTCCTGGATAGTAACGAGGGCACCGAGGTGCTCCTGGGTAGTAACGAGGGCACCGAGGTGCTCCTGGGTAGTAACGAGGGCACCGAGGTGCTCCTGGGTAGTAACGAGGGCACCGAGGTGCTCCTGGGTAGTAACGAGGGCACCGAGGTGCTCCTGGGTAGTAACGAGGGCACCGAGGTGCTCCTGGGTAGTAACGAGGGCACCGAGGTGCTCCTGGGTAGTAACGAGGACACCGAGGTGCTCCTGGGTAGTAACGAGGGCACTAAGGGGCGCCCCGAGAAATACGAGAGAAGCTTGCCATTTACCAACCCGTCCTCGACTCAAGTCCATTGCATCCAGCGGTCGACCCCCACAGACGCATTCATAAATTTTAACATACTGTTCATTCAAAACAGGAATTTTCTTCAATGTAAATTATTATTATATTAGCATATTGTGCATATATAGGCATAGGTTAGGTTAGGTGTTTAGGTTCTGTTGGCGATTATTTGTATTTGTAGTACGTGGGTGAAACATTTACTGCGTAGTGGTTCGAACAAAATTCGTCAGTGAAGCACTTGTTCCGGAAGTGTTCGAACGAAATCAATTGAGAGTCGTGTGTAAACCGTTTTTCATTCATAAACAGAGGGTTTGACGGGTGCATGGAATCACTTTTGGGTCTTTGGAGGAAGGGCTAAGCATTTACCGAGGACGCAACGAGGCGAACGAGCGATACGTAGATCAAGAATGCTTTTAAGTTCTTGGTGCAGACATTTCTAGGCGTGCTTACCTATACGGGGGAGCGAGATCTAGCGGGAGTGTGTGGTTTCTTCAGTCACCCATGAGAGGTGCTCTTTGATATGCTTCTGGTCTATTACCATTCTCTTTGTCAGTTGATTTGAGTCAGTCTTCCCTCTTTCGCTCTGTCTGTTGCCTACTCTCACACGGCGCAAACCTTGACGAAACGCACATCCACTTGGCCAGTGTTGCGTAATAATTTAACAACCCGAAAGACAGATTCGTGTGTCGTTATATCTGCTCACTTCAAGGTTCGTTCTGCCTTCCCTCGCCAGAGCCGGCGCTGCCGTCCCTCGCCAGAGCCGGCGCTGCCTTCCCTCGCCAGAGCCGGCGCTGCCTTCCCTCGCCAGAGTCGGCGCTGCCTTCCCTCGCCAGAGTCAGCGCTGCCTTCCCTCGCCAGAGGCGGTGACCGTTGTTGAGCTGCCACTCTCGCCGGATCTCTGGGAACATCAGCTATAAAATGGATTAAAATGTTTTACATAGCGGCGTGTTGCCTCTGGCACGAGAAGTTGCTGGCGCCGCCGGTGCGTGTTGTTACAGCGTCAGCAGCCGCTAGAGTGGTTGTGGGAGAAGAGTTGACATAAGATCGCTCTCTCTCTCTCTGCGTCTCTGTGTGTGTGAGAGGGAGGGGGGGGGGCCTCGCGGCTGAGTGGACAACGCTCGGGGATCGTAGTCCTACGGGTCCGGGCCGAGGCGGAAACAAATGGGCATAGTTTCTATCACCCTGATATATCTGTTCACCAAGCAGTAATCAGGTACCTGGGATTTAGACAGCTGCTACGGGCTGCTTCCTGGGGATGGAGGGTGCGCTCGTTGGGCGAAATATATGTAATAGACATTGTAGAGGAAAAATAGATTGGTTAGAAAGGCGGGGTCCAAGAGATAATAGCTCGATTCTGCAGACACAAATAGTAAATACACGCACGAAACTGGAAAAGGTGCAACGACATGCAACAAAATGGCTTCCGGAACTGAGAAACATAAGTTACGAAGAAAGATTAGAAGCGTTAAACATGCCAAAACTATAAGATTGAAGAAAGAGAGGTGATATGATCACCACTTACAAAACACTAACAGGAATCAACTAAATTGACAAAGAGGATTTCCTGAAACCAGCAACTTCACGAACAAAAGGACACAGATTCAAGCTAAGGAAACAAAGAGTGCCGAAAAAAATATTAGAAAGTTTTCTTATTGAAACAGAGCGGTAGACGGTTGGAATAAGCTAAGTGAGAAGGTGGTGGAGACTAAAACTGTCAGTTGTTTCAAAGCCTTATACGACAAAGAATACTGGGAAGCCGGGACACCACGAGCGTAGCTCTCATCCTGTAACTACACTTAGGTAATTACACATAGCAGGGCAGGACGCCTGTAGTGTATCGCCGGACGACTTCCACACAACTCTGTACTTCTGACCCCCCACAGTTATTTAATATTTAATGATGTGTAGCAAAGATTCCCGTTAGCATGCGATTTCCGGCACCTGCCCACCCTCACTGCGCGCCCCGCAGACTCATCTAGTGGTGTCTGGTTAGATATTTTCTCTCTTATCTCTGGTACGTCTCCTTGCTATACTATGAAGACCTGGAATTTCTTATTGAGTTCATTGCACACTTCCTTGTCGTTGTCCATCTTCGTGTGTGTGTGTATGGTGCATGTGTGTGTGTGTGGGATGCGTGTTTGTGTGTGCGTGCGCGCGTAAGTGTACAGAGGTTCCTGGCACCCTCACTACACCTGGACACGTATTTAAGCACTGATCAATATCCTCAATGTCTTGGACACGGCAC